CATTCCCCGGAGGAGCTGGAGCAAGTGTCTGGAAAAAGGGAAGTCTGGGCATCTTTGCTTAGACTGCTGCCCCCGTGACCCGGTTCCGGATAAGCGGAGGAAAATGGATGGATGGATGGAAGTTATTCATGAAAAACAGCATTTCGGTAATGGCGGTTTTCTTCAGGATCTAGCTCAGTAACTTTTGAAGATGTGTCAAATCGGTTGACATCTTACTGAATCAACAGAGTTTCAGCTTGAGTTTGATCTTTGTTGCAAGAAAGCACCATTATTTGTTGCCTCACAGTTTTCCAGTTTTCCATAAGTCCTATAAATGTGAGCATTCTGGATCACCGCATCAAGAATATTACTTGGATCCAGAACAAACTTTGGTGTGTGGTAGATATATGGATGTTAGGTATATTGTACAAAGTAGAAGAAAAAATATCAAAATAGTTCCTAAATCACAATGGCGAAATTTCCTTTAAAAAAAATTCCTGGATCCAGAAGATGATCCAGATCAACACCGAAAACCAAGGCCAAAGACACAACAAGCTGATGTGAAAGAATTAGCAGCGATGTAGGCCAACTGTTGTGTCCTTTTGTGTTGCCTTCGTCTGGGCCAGTCAGATCGAAAAAGTGGCACACAAACACACTGCACAGACTACAGTCAACGGCCAAATAGCATGTACGCTTGGCGCCTGCGTGACAGAAACAACTCTCCCTACCAGCAGTATCTGTATTCCCCATTCAGAAAGGGAAAGAAGACCAAGACAGAAATAAAAGCTGTCAACAAAGCAGCTCTTGTTCAACACAGCTGCTGATTATAGTAGCTGCTTCTAATCAAGAATATGTCTGATAAGAAGTTGCAAATAAACACTGCCGTTGCCTGCCCTCGGTCTTGTGGTTGTGGGAGAACAAAGGAAGCTGTGGAGGTGAAAAACAAGGAGAATCTGAACCAAATGTGTGAAATGCACTTTACTACTTAACTAGTGGTAAGAAACATGCCATTTTGTTGTAGAAATGTTTCGGCAGCCAGTTAGCCTTATTTTAAGAAGGCGGAGCATGTTTGCAATGGAATATATCAAGATTTACGGTTTAGCACATCTGTTGCGCAGGGGCAAGATAGATTGCTGCCACCACAGAGACCTGGATTTAACTCCTGGTTGTAGGAGTTACTGCACTGGCCACGTCTACCTGCACAGAGAGGTGCATAACAAGCTCATCACTATCTTGTGTAAAGAAGGAAAAGAACAAGAATGTTAACATGACATCTGTGGAGTGACTAAAAAAAAAAAAAAAAAAAACGTTTTTCAAGAGTGCGCCAAAGTTAAAGCCAAACAACCTAAGACAGATGTCAAGGTTCTAAAAACAGCTGTAAACAGTAGTAGTAATAGATTATACAATATTTTGCTTGTTTGTAGAGTGAGGATTCAGCAGTTTGTACTACCGTATCTGGTTAAGGCTCTTAGCAAAAAAGTGGACTATAATTATTCGATGTAAGAGGCTAAAAAACTTTGAAACATTAAGTATTTGCGTGACGCTGAAAATTCATTATCAAATACATGATTGCTCAACTCTTTCGTCTTTCTCATGCTGAGTCAGCTGTTGTACATGTAATAACTCAAACCTCTTGGTTATGTTGAAATCCCTGTACACGTTTGGAACCACATGACACTCGTACTAGTGTTCTGGTTACGACACGGTTATTTGTACTAAAACAGTAGTTTCAGTGGTGCTCTCATACATCTGGTGAGACTTGGGATTCACATGTGTGTCAGTTCTGAGTAGTTATTAGCTGTCAACAATAATAGATTCCACATGAATAATATCTGATGCCTAATTCCAGTAAATCATTTCTCTGTGGTGACTCATCCGACCACATGATGAATCTGAGCACAATGTTGTTTTTTTAAGTGATTACAGTTACGTGTCTCCCAGAGTATCCGTCGATACACACACACACACACACACCACTGAATGATTAGAGAAAGTAAGTCAAAAAACATCACACAAATTCTGACAAATTAAAGGCTCAGTCAACCAAAATCATATTTAAAATGTTTTCCTAATTGTAAATTTCCTAATGCAGCTGTTCCAGAGTTTCAACTTTATGTGTTGAAATATAGTCTGTCAACCTTGTTCAGCATTCACTGGAAACAGTCCCAATAAAAGCTGGTGACAGTGAGGTCTGTAAATTATTCAGCGTAACCAAAAGATTTTTCTTGGAAAGAAATACTGCTGTTGATTGTTTAAGCTACTACAAGCACCACACATGAAATTCCTTTTACTTTCCTTACTGTTACACTGGGCTTAGAGCAGAAAAGTCAGATGTCTCAAAATATCTACAAAACCACAACTTTTCATGGCTCAATACAATTACTGGTAAGTGGGGAAATATGTCGTTTGTGTGATTCTAAGTGAAATGAGCCTTTAAACAATGCCATACAATTACCACTGATCGACAAACTCACGTCGCACAGAGCAGACAATGTGGCACTGACGTTCCTCACAGGGTGGTAGGTGAAGGTGATGAAGGGGAGGTCAGTGGCAAAGGGGTTCCACGTGGACACGAAGGAGGGCTCTCTCTGCCGGTCCCAGAAGATTCGCACCCCCTCCCCTGCTCTCCTAAAAACAAATTCAAACCAAAGAGACAATGACTGTGTCATTCAGAGTGTCTCTGTTGCCAGGGACACGTTTGACCTAAAACTTCAGCTTCATAGTTCATGTTGTCACCAGATCAATTTTATTACTCACCACTTTCTTTAAACAAAGACTTTTGTTTTCTACTGAGAATCATTTACAAAGTGCTGAATATACATTAAACCTTCTTTGCCTTTGACCATCATCTAGACACATCTATAGATATTTTTGTTTCACTTGCAGCATTTTTCATTTTGACCTTCTCGTTCTGAGTAGAAAGGAGTGACATTAACTGTAAACCTAGGTCTGCCTGCCTTTTTTGCTATTGTGGCAAATACGTAATGTGAAGGTAATCTCATGTTTACCAGGCTTAGAGGTAATGTATGTGTTTGTCATGATCTCTTTCTTCTTCTGTTCTTTATTTAGTCTTTTTAAAGTAAATACCAAAGGTTTTAATGAAACTGCCCTGGGGTCATATCTTTTCTCAGCCTAATGAAACCTAAAAAGACTTGGAGCAAACAGATCCCCACACATCTTTGAAATGATACTGGTGTTGATCTTCAAGGTCTAAAGAGTCTCGGTTCTTTACAGTTTGTCCATCAAGCGTGATCCTGGACTCTCCTACCACTAAGACTGTAATATCTGAATACAGCATCTTTGTTACTGTTCAAAAAGTACAGGGTGACAGAGTTCACACTCACATGCCTCTGTATTACTATTTTTGACCTTCCTGCAGAATATTTAAATAAGCCAGAGCTAAAATGTATCACAGTAATAAAATGTATCAGAGAAAACCGATTTTGACTGTGAGGGCATTAAAAAAAAAAGCCTTGAACATAATTCAAGTTCTCATATTACACCTATAAAGTATTTCAAAAAGTCATTTAGCAGTAATTTAAACACTTATGTTATTAATACCAAGTTTCAGGTGCAGTCTGCTCCAGTCACTACATGTGACCGGACTTTAATTTAACTTTTTACTGATGCTCCCACTGTAATTCTGCACACTAATTTATTCAAAGACAACCATACGGCGTACATGAATTTAACATGTGCCTTGTATCAATTCTTACCTTGTATCATCTTCTGAACTCATGCTAAAAAGTTACACAGATTTTCAGTAACTAGTCATATTTCCAGTAAGCCTGAGGTTCATACAGCATAAACAGAGATAAAACAATTAGCTGATTAATAAATTAGCTAATCAACAGAGAAATGATCTGCTACTAATTTATATTGCTTGACATATTTCACTTATTTTTCCAAACAAACATGCCAACTACTACTTAAAGATATTGTGTTCACAAGAATGTGATGTACATGAGGTCATGGTGACCTTTGACCACCAAAATCTAATCAGTGAGTCCAAGTGGACACTTGTGCTAAATTAGAAGAAATTCCCTCAGGGTCTTTCTGGGACAATACATTCACAAGTATGCGCTGGACAGACAGATGCCTCTGGACACGGCTAGGGCCAGTGTGGAGGCACAAAAAGGATCAAAACTGATGAGGAACCAGATTTTCACCCATTCTTCATCCTTGTATGAACCTGGTGCCAACATAAACCACAGTGCAACATTACTACCAGCAGTCCGGTCCAAGATTCAAACACGGTATGCTAGTAGCTACTAATGCGGCCTGGAGCTGCTGGGCTCATACAGAGATAAGGAGAAGCTCACTTCTTTCCAGCTCTACACCTCTAGATGTTTTTTAAACTTGTAGTTTTCAGGCCAAACCTAAATAGACTCAAATGACATCATGAGGCATCACATCACACAGCTGTGTCTGGAGCCATAAAAGGTTAAAAAGTTCTCTCTCACTTTGTCACCCTTGTGACAGACCGGTGACCTGCCCAGGATGAACCCTGTCACCCAGTGTCAGCTGGGATCAGCTCCAGCCCCTCTGAGACCCTCTACAGGACAAACAGCATAGGTTAATGGATGGAAAATTGAAAGTGGAATCATTTCAAGCTGGAATTCAGACACTTTCAGTTACAGTACATTACCATCCCTTTGTTGTTGTAAATCTCCCTTTTAACTAAGCAGGCAAACAACTACAGGATAGACAAGAGCTTGAAAAACCTGCAGTGACAGGTTTGACTTGTTAGTCTGACAAATACAGTAGAACACAAATAATACTGCTTACAAGAGGCAGAAATAAACTGGAAGAATCCAAAATGGGATAACTTTAGCCCACATCTGGTTTGTTTTTCTCATCTGAGAAAGTGGCATTTTCTCCTTTTCTTAGAAACTAACAAATTAGCTAGAAAAAAGATAAATGTCCACACAATGCCCTGATACAAACACTGACTCAGTATCAGAGATCAGGATTCCAGTGTTGAAACGCTTGTGCCATATGTTTAGTTAAGCAAGTCATTTCCCTGCTGCACACATTTAACACTGACAATGTATTTTTCAAGGTCTGACACCAAACCCAGAGATTTGTATTTGCTGCATTTGTAACTTCTGCACTTGATGTGTGAATGTACAAACACATGGATTTATTTAGTACTCAATACTGTGTGTGGACACTTGACAGCTTTCATGAGCCAACTTGCAAAACAATTTAACACATCAAAATGTGCAAACAGCTCATAAAGTGTAGCTTACTGTGGCTATCATCCAATCTGTTCCTTTCTGTGATTCTGTCAACAGCTGTAACTGATGACAGCATTAAAGGTTGGAGTTTGAGGAATTAAAACAATCAATAATATACCTGCTGGTTTGTTTGTATAGATAGAGTAACAAAGAGGATCAGTAAATCAAGATGTGGGCTGTTTCCCAACAATGTTCTGATTTCCTTAATGATCTGTTACACTGCGCTCATTTTGCCACCTAACTTGTGCAACAGCACTTCCTGCCAACCAGAATTAAACTCCTGAGGCTAAACAATATTGGTGTAGCTGTTGATATGTCATGGTCTCAGGGAGGGGCTGCAATATAATGCAATCATTTAGCCCTGTTTACACAAGTACTTTCAAAACGACAATGCTGCTGCTGAACATTTTGTGCCTCCTCCAGAAAAAAATGTTGTGCTGGGAGAAAAGGGGGAGGAAAAAAAAAATCTAGTACAAAAGCAAAGCCTGGACTAAAAAAACTGATTATATTTCAAGAAAAACGACTGAGGACTGTGGGGTTATGTTTGTACACACTGCCCTTTGTAAGAGTACTCAGCTACTAGCCTAGTATAAATGGGGATATAAAAAAGCTTTGGCAAATTCCACAGGTAAGCTATTACTGGGAGAGGGACCAGCCCAAACAGGCAGAGCAGGGCAGGGCTTTCCAGCCAGAGGCCTTGGAAGTCTTCACTGTGTTTATGTGACTTTCACTGCACCTCACTTCCATACTGTGCACTCATGAAAATGCAGAAACAGTGAAAGCAGGCCACCACTGCGTTATGTCATTCATAAGTATGACAATGTTGGTGTCAAGGAAAATAAAAAATATCACAAGCACAAGGCCAAACTGTGGACATCCACCCTCCACCTTCATGGTGGAGTTCCACATAGTCTGCAGCGTTAACACAAAAGGCACATGTAGAAGAAAAACACTGTACTTTGTGCTTAAGGGCAAATTATGAAAAATTCCTCCCTGGGCTTTCAAGCACTCCAGCCTCATAAGTCAACACACAAGATAAATATCAAGCCCAGCTCCAGTCATCATGGCAAGTGTCCCACATTGTCTCAGAGCGAACAAACAAATCTGCTCCGATTGCTCAATAGAGCCTGCAGGTCTGTCAGCCATCCATATATGTATCCATCCAACAAGGTTTCATTCAACACATGAAATGACAAAACAAGGGAGCAGCAGGGTGGAGGGATCGCTAGAAAAACACAGGAAAAGACAAAAAAAAAAAAAAAAACATTACTTTACCTGCTAACACATTTCTTCTTCAAGTTATAGCCTCAAAAATTGTTACACTGTTCATAATAAAGCTGCTCTGAAGCACAAAATAACAGTCACGTTACAAAAACTGTGATATCATAGCTGCAGGCTGTTGGCATAGATATTTCCACCTTGAAAAAGCAAAGTCCACACACTGAAAGCTGCTCCCCAGGTGTATGGATTCACAGCAGCATGCTGGGGCAGGGCTAAAACATTATAAATCTGCTGGTGTTAAAGTTATACTTGTATGTCCAGGGAGCAGCCTGTGTACACACTCTGCTCTTGAGCTGTACTTTGTTTTGGGGAATGTTATTCTGCTTGGCTTAAGCTATTGCTCATGCTACAGGTAGAACTACAATATCTGGCAACACATTGTTCTGGTTATATAAACACCTTATTTGCTGGAGTTTTATTTACAGAGAAAATTCTAATCCATCTCTTTTGCATTTTATGTTGTTAATGATCTTGTGTTTATTAAAGTGCAGTTAAGCTCAAATTTACTGGAAATCATTCAAGGAAGTTCCTGTGCAATCCCAGTCCAGTGTCAAAATGCCCTGAAGGCCTGTTTGGGGTCTGTTGTTGATTTGGACCCCCATTAGTAATTACATGGCAACAACTACAACAGTATTCCAGCAGCCCATATTGAAATATACAGTATAATCAGCAAATATGATTATTGATACTACTGCATGTTTACTTAAGAATTATTTAAAATGTGAGGCTATTGCTTGTAATGGGGTGTTTTAATGATCTGTCTGATACATATTTATGTATTTTTCCATTGTTTTTCTGTTTGGTTGAGAGCACAACATGCCATTTCTTTACTTTTTAGATAATTGTGCAACTGGAAGAGTGGCTCCAACAGATCCCAGGAACAACATCTGAGATCTCTGTCCAGAAGAGTGCAGTGCTAGGAACAGCTAAGATACTGTGTAGGACCCTCAGGCTCCCAGGCCTCTGGTAGAGGACCCGAGCTTGAAGGAAGGAATAAGAGACCGCCCAAAGTGGGGGGCGAGTGGGGAATTTTATATATTATACAACAAAACTACCCTCATGATGGATTAGAATACTCTCAGTGTAGGAGTGAGATAAAAATTTTTT